CCAGCGAGATGATCTGATAAGATTATGTAACTTTAAAATCTTGGCGCTAGTTGGGGTGCGTGCTTCTTTGGGTTAGATGCATGTGACTGGACCAATGAGAGCGGAGTAGAGACACACGGTCAGGCTGACTTTCTTTGTGCTCCCGACCTGTGCATGCAGGTGTGGGCGTTTGGCGTCTAATGCTCGTACACTTATATACAAAATAGGATTAGGACGGATAGTACGGCAACCTGTCGTGCTTTCCGCGAGTGATTGCCTGATATTGTGTGGTATCCCTTTAAAATGCTGTCAGTTGATACAGAGTTGCCGGGATGCCAGGTCGCCGTTTGAATGAGTGCCCCCTCTTCTTTTTCCTCGGTGTCTTTTAATCGGCGATATACAATTTCAATTGTGAGTGGATAAGTCTGCAAGAATGAAAGTAAATGAGCCGAGAAGAAAGGGGAAAGTGCGGGAAGCTGGGATCCAGAGCATGGTCCAGGTTCAAGGGTCCAAGATAGCAGAGCTAATGGAATGGGGGAAATATACTGTGTAACGACTAACGACAAGGTCCAAGGGTAGATGGAGCACATCGATCAAAGCGGTCAATAATAAGTTTCCAATAGCGCAAGTCCAAACTAGACTTTGCTTTTTTCCCAGTCAATCGCAAAGCCGGCTCGTATCACAGACTCTCGTATGACTGCGTGAACCTCGAGTCCTTCCGATCCCGAATAAGAAATACATTTCACGCATGTGCCCTTTTTATGCCCTAAATTTGGGTCGTGTGGTACTTCTCCGCAAATAAACCTCACGCAGAAATTGCACGAAATCATACTTCCGTTGCAAACAGAACGCCCTGCCAATCGGGGGCAACAGAGGGAAACGGTGGCCCCATTAGGACGGAGACTCGCGTGATGCCCAAGGGGTAAAGATGGCGATTCTGGGCGAAACGGCTGTTGCGGCGTTGCGGCTGTCCTGAGTGTACCACGTCAACTTGCATGATAGAGCTGGGGAATGGAACGGGAAGAGAAAACGGTGATGGAAACGGTACGCGGTATTTAAACTGGTGGGAAAGAGCGCAATGCAAACAATCACTGTGATTTCTAACATGGAAAAGAGTAGCTGAGGTGTAGGGTGGAGCATAGCCGCGCATTGGAATTGTAAAATTAAGCTGGTAAGATCGTGGTAAGAAGGGCTGCAAGCTTAGAAATGCCGATGTCGCGATGTTCTCCCCCATTCCGACGGATTTGGCAAGCATCGTGTAATCGCCCAGTGAGCATTACTTCAGAGGCTGTCATCGTAAAGTTATCAGATCCTGTTTGGCCCCACTGCGTCATCTTTGGCTATGCTCGCACCCCTCCGGTCAGCCCGCGTCCCCAGGTGCCCCAAGCAACCAGAGGCCCCCGAGGCCCCTCTTGGGTCCGGGGAGAGAGCGCTTCAGGGCGGCGGAAATATACGGTTGGTCTATCATATTTGGAAAAGAGTATTGGCGGTACTTGGAATGCCAGTTTGATCTGTAGCTACATACTTTCGTAAAGGACACTTTGCGATGTTCTGGGCGAGCTGTGGGTACTCTTGAAGGACGGACTTGCTCGTACAGTAGCGTGCGGTCCACCGACTCTTTGTGAACTCGACCTAACACGTGCCAGAATCACACAAAGTAACAGCATACTCCGCAAATGCTGTGTAGACCACGCTGTGCCAGTAGACAATCGCATCAGAAGACTTCTTTCAGGAGTATCTTCTTTCAATCCTCATGTTGAACATTCGCCACTGAAGAGCGCTTCACTACCCGCCTTCAGCCGCGGTCTGGACACCGGCAACTTCTGCAGGTGGGTTTTCGCTGCTGGGACCTATTCGCTACAGGCACCCCCTCCCCTCTCGCTCAACCCGATGATCGGTAGGCTGGTTCCGCTTTAAGCTGATCCAACATTTTTCATCCGTCCTCCCTCCCACTTCCTCGAATCTTCCGACTCCTCTCCACTCTCCTTTTATATATCGAGCCTCGCCGGCTTGCCAACCTCTTACAACCTGTCTCGGTCTTCACTCAATGTGCATTTGTTGCTGAGGAGAATGGCTGCTGCTCGATCAACCATGTTGCGTCCTCAGGTCCTTCGAACGCCCTCCACATCACACTGCGTTCCTGAGGAACCAGTAACCCTGGCTGCCTCACCACGTTCCTCGGTTCCCTCCCTCTCCTACTCCTCCTCTTCTGAACCCGACGAGGACCTGCCTGCACCACAAACCATTCAACGACAGCGGCGTGCGTCGACACACCTAATTGCGAACAATGCCGCCGACATTCAGAGACTTGTTGGCGCCCCTGGCACTAGGCTGCTGGAGAAATGCTGTGGTGGCGGGTGCTGCATGGCCGTGCGCAAGGACGATAACCTCACCTTCACCAGGATCCCACTCCCCGACAACGAAGCTTATCGAGCCCTGAATCTGAACATAACTGATGTACCAACGACACTTTCCAACGTCCTCGAATTACCCCCAAAGACGATTGCGCTTTTGCCCGCCAAGGATGGGAAATCCCCGAGTCTTTCGCCAGCTGATTCTGCCATCTCAGTCAGCTCCCCTCCGCCCCTGCCTGAGAGTCAGACCACAGACTCAATTGACTTCACGCCTCATAACGACAAGTCTTCGTCCACTGAGCTTCTCGATACCAAAGTTCATCCGCCAAGTTTTGTCCAGCCACACCCACCATATCATGTCTTTTCAGCCAAGATTCATAATACCAGATCGCTCACCAGACCTGGCGCCGAAAAGCGTACCTACCACTTTGATTTAGATGTGACAGGCTACCCAGAAGAGCTGGGCCTGGATTTCAAAGTTGGCGGAGCCATTGGTGTCGTGGCACCTAACAAGGCGTCAGCTGTCGAAGAACTCATGGATCTGCTTTTAATTCCACGTTTCATCCGTGACCGTCCAGTCCTCCTCACAACCCAAGGCGGTAGATGGCCTACCGTCTGGGGTGAGGAGAAGCCCCGCCAGCTTCTTACCACCCGCCGCGCGCTCTTAACTTGGTGCTCCGATATTCAGTCATATCCCCCCACCAAACCCCTTCTACGTGTCCTTGCTGAATACGCAACTGATCCCAACGAGAAGAAGATACTCCTTTTCCTCTGCTCAGGAGAGGGTCAGGGAGTTTTCTGTGATTTCCGAACTGGCCCTCACGTCACGATCAACCAGCTTCTCCACGCCTTCCCTTCCTCCAAGCCACCGCTCGATCATCTCCTCACGCAACTTCAGCAGCTGATGCCACGATTCTATTCCCTATCCAATGACCCTCACGATTCTTGCATTCCGTCTACAGGCTCATGCAAGCGCATAGTCGAAATTGCGGTGACAGTGCACGAGACTCCTGACTGGCGTGATGGCAATCGCACTGGTGTTGGCTCGGGTTTCTTCGAACGCCAGGCCTTAGAGTACATCGCTGCTGTGGAAAAGGGTGAGAACCCGCCTGACCTTCGAATTCCCATGTTCAAGGGCCTGATGGCAAACCCGCTAGCTCGCGAGTTCGTCTCGGACGGACCAATGCTTCTCATTGGAGCTGGTGTCGGTGTGGCCCCCTTCCGTGGTTTTGTTCAGCGCCGCCTGAAGTCTGCCAATTGTGCCAACAAAGTCTGGGTTCTCCAGGGGATTCGTGATAGTCTTCTCGATGAGCTTTACAGTGGCGAGTGGGGCGTTCATGAGGAAGAACTGAAGAAAGTTGTTGCTAGCCGGAGATCTACCCGAGATCAGAAAGGCAAATATGTGCAGGATGAGGTCCGAAACCAGGCAGATCTGGTGTGGTGGATTATAAACAGCCTCGATGGCCGTGTTTTTGTCTGTGGCTCCAGCAAAGGCATGGGCGAAGGAGTCGAAGAAGCATTGGTTGATGTGGCAATGAAGAAGGGAAATCTGGGTCGTGAGGAAGCCAGGGACTTTTGGGCTCTCAAGAAAGAAGCCGGACAATATGTTGCTGAAACATGGTGATTAACTCATGTTTGCAATTTCTTCTGGAGCTACCATCCCAATCCAATCATACACATGAGATGCTAGGCTTGCATCTCTTATATTTCTTTTCGTTCATTTTTATGTTCTGGGCGGCAAGACTACTTATCCGGCATGGCGTTTATGGGAGTTATATACGAGTAAATACCGGTCTTTGCATGCTAGTCACAGCATGTCAGACGTCGCAAAAGCCGCATTAAATTTGGCGAGGCTTGTTTTGGTTCTGTTTTATCTTGCATGATGAGCTAGCTTTGTAGCTGGCTGGTTTGGCTATCAAAAACACTTGCGCAAGCAAGCACACATAGAAAGAAATAAGGAGGCAATGATTGGAAACAAAATGTCGACGTTTATCCCTTCGTTCTTCTTTATCTCGCTGCACAGTTCCGGATTCTATATACTTAGGCATCATCTTTAGCTTCATTCTGCAGCGTGTAGCTAGCATTGGTTATCGCGGGAGTGACCATGTACATAGATTTTTAGTGGTCATGAGTCTTCTAAACAAGTTGGGCAATGAAGATATATATTTTGCAATATCGAGCTATAGATACTGTCTGCAGTCTTGCTCTGTTACCCTACTTAGATCTGATCTATTTTCTTTCTCTTGAAGGCTTATTAAGATCGGCATCTGCTAGATTGCGTGCATGACCTTAAATGTCAGCCTACGGTAGCAACCAGATCTGATCGCAGTGTAGCCAATAATTAAAAGCCTGGTCCCCTTGGCCTTGTACAATATCAAACGGGTCAACTCAGCCTGTACAAATATTAGGACCAAGTGAGTAATGCATAAATACGTAATTCTGCACAAGCTCATCCCGCACTCCCGAGAGATTCTCGGCCATCTTTATCAGATCGACTGACGCCGATGCCAAGGGCGGAAATGCATGGACAAGCTTTTGGCTCATGCTTATGGCCCCCTGATCTGTACGTTTTCTGCCCCTCAAGCCTCAATCCAGGGCCCCTTTTCACTGAGGAAAAACAAACCGTTGATAATGGAGCCTGATAAGACCCCGCCGTCCCCAATAATTGGGCGCTTGGTTTAGTGGTATAATGTTCGCTTTGCATTCTGAGGAGTTTGACCAGAATCTTCTAGTTCTAATTCATGAATACATTGTTGCGAAAGGTCGCTGGTTCGATTCCTGCAGTGTCCAAATTTTTTGTGTGGTTAATTTTCTTTTGGCTGTGTGTTATGGAGGAGGGGATGAAGTTCCGACATCGCCGGCTAGGGTATTTTTGTTTGGCACCGGATGCCCTCTAACTGGCTTGCCCTCCTAAGAGATGATGTTTGCTCGGGGAAGATGGTCGTAATATCTTTCAAATTCTTTCTTTGTTAATATTGAAAAAGGCTCTGATTGTGCAGCAGGCAAGAATGAGCTTAGCAGCTGCTCGACTGATCGTTAACTTTAGTTCTGTATAATCCGGATGATCAAAATGGATACCCCGAGATCGAACAGGTGTATGATACACAATCGGGATTTCGGAGTTTCATGACTCGACCTTGACAATTGTGTCTTGTTCCCTCCATCAACCCCATGCCCGGGGTGGAAACAGTTGGCAAACTTCTAGTAAAGATATAGGTATTTTTACTGGAGTTTCCATATCGTGTCTACTACATAAATATAAATAAATTAGATTAAAATGAGATTCAATTCCCAAAACGGAGAATGTTAATAAAATGAAGAGGAGTACAGTAGGAAAAAGTTATGAAAGAGTTTATGCACGTAATCATCCGCCCGCATGTTCGGCAGCAATGACGTAAGGGAGCCAACAGCCACACGGTACAGTCGGCTTGATCTTTACCAGGGAACTATACGCAATCAATGGACCCTTGAGTTGTTTAATATAAATATTTCCCACCTGCTCCCCTTTTTACTTTGGTTTTACTTGTAACGTATTGCGGCCTTTTCTCCTGTTTTCTTGTACTTCATTCAATTGAAGCTCTCGCTCGTTATCGTCATATCAAGACTTCCTTTGGGACTAGATTCGATTGCGATAAGAGAGCTAATTAATTTGCCTATTCTAAAGAAACAATAAAAATCAATCAAAACAAGATGGCTACGACAGTAAAGAAAAGTCCACTTCCTCAACCTTCAATCGAGCTCTTCAGTGGGAAATATTTCCTTGCTTGTGGTATTGGCGGCATTATTGGTACGTATAGAACGAAAGCACGCGAGCTAGAATCATTAGCTAATCCAACTGCATAGCTTGTGGACCAACGCATACTGCAATTGCACCCCTTGACCTAGTCAAGGTCCGGCGACAGGTTGATCCTAAGATCTACAGCTCCAACTTCAGTGCTTGGAAGACCATCTACAAAGGATCGGGCTTGCGCGGGGTATTCTTCGGTTGGTCGCCCACGTTCGTAGGCTATTGTCTCCAAGGTGGTGGAAAATATGGATTCTACGAGGTGTTCAAGTATGTTTATGGGGAGAAGATGTTTCCTAATGTGAATAAGACACTGTTGTATCTTGGAGCGAGTGCAACTGCCGAATTCCTCGCTGATATTGCACTGTGTCCGTTCGAGGCTGTGAAGGTCAGGATGCAAAGCACACTGCCGCCTTACGCACATACCATGCGTGAAGGATTAAGCAAAATCATTAAACAAGAGGGATATGCTGGGTAAGTTTTCTTTAACAACCTATTCTCGTCCTGAGACTTGGGCTTACAATCTCGAAAGACTATACAAGGGCTTATATCCGCTCTGGGGCCGCCAGGTTCCATATACGATGGTTAAGTTTGCAACGTTCGAAGAAACCGTCAATTTGATATATAAGACTCTCGGCAAGCCAAAAGACAGTTATAATTCTCTTCAGCAAACCAGCGTTTCTTTCCTCGGTGGTTACATTGCAGGCATTGGAGCTGCAATAGTCTCTCATCCAGCAGATGTGATGGTCAGCAAGCTTAACAGTGACCGTGAGGCGGGCGAGAGTGCTCTAAAAGCAATGAGTAGGATCTATGGAAAGATAGGATTCATCGGACTCTGGAATGGTATTGGGGTTAGGATAGTAAGTGCAGCTTTATTCGTGCTTCACTTTGACCGAGACTTTACTAACTTATATACTATTAGTTTATGATTGGTACCTTGACCGGCTTCCAGTGGCTCATATACGACAGTTTCAAAGTGATGCTATACCTTCCAACGAGTGGAGGGCATTAGTTATTTGAAATAAGGAGTTCCAGGGGTTTGCTGCTGGGCGTTGGGAGTTGTGGGCGTAGACTTTGAAGATGGTCAATAGAAGTAGATAGAGGACATCAAATCGAGATTCCCCCTACCGAAGCCGCTTACGGTAAGGAAAGAATGCAGGAAGTGCAGAACATCAAGAGGGAACTGGCAAATATTTTATAATTAGCAGTGTATCCAATTGAATTTAAGTGAAAGATTCAATCAATATTAATATTTGTTTATATCAAAATTTAAACATTGGGCGCCTCCTTATCAAGTCATTTGAAACAAACTTGAGTATTTTTGGTGAATATAGCTATGTTCCTATCAGATGGGATCAAGGGAAAATATTTTACACCAAGGTATCTGGTCGTATATTCAATTCTGTCTATTCAATTCTGTCTATTCAATTCTGTCTATTCAATTCTGTTCTACTCTAATTCACTCAGGGCTATGGGCTTATATAAACGGCAGAAAGTTCTCTGGAGTCCTCCTTCATATCAACACGGCAGGAAAGACAAATGAGAAAGTAAAGCACATATCCTGAGGGGTTGACAATCCACGACATGCTGGGGGTTTTGACCTAGCCAAAGACTTGACATACCCAAAGCATAATATCGCACATACTGGTCATACCAGTCTACGATCCTCAAGATATAAATATGCCTCTAGAATGGAAGATTGCTTACCTTGTTCCCAAGCACAGACTTCATTTCCCAAGAGAAAAGCTGAAGGGAATCGAAATATATTCGATTAAGCCTCTTATAACGTTATTGGAAGTCCGTTGCAATTACCGTTTGCAGAGCTGTTCTTAAGAAGCAGCTCCCCACCAGCAATATAGTGAAGAAGGGTGGTCGATATGCGCATTATGATAATCAGCCGTTGGTAAAAATATCATTGAAAGCTTCATTGGCACTACTCTATTAACCTTTGACTACGAGTTATGCATGGATAGGAATGGTACCCAACATTACGGCGAGTTGGGGGCGGCGTAGGTGACCACTGACAAAGGTGCGGCGAGAGAACTGATAATGAATGACCAGCATTCGAATATCGACACTATGTGGTTAAAGACTTCGAATTTCAGGATATCTCCGATTATCGCAGAAATGTCGTGCCTTGGGCTAGAGCAAAATATTTCAATCAGCCCTGGAGCTCTTCGCTTTGCCCACGGGTATATTGCCGGATAACCCAGGCTGGAGGGACATACCGCGGGAAGTCAATTAAGTCGAAATGGAACATAGAGTATGCTTGGGAGAATGCCTCTTATCTCTGTCATTTGTAACACCGCTGTCGATTTACCATCATTTTAGATGAGTTCAATTGAAATTGCTGTCATTTGCTCCATGCCTTCCGCAACCCCGGTATCAATTGACCTCTCTTTCTAATTTGCCCATTACTTACTTCATCAAACCCAGCTCCCAATTTGTAAGTCAGACAAATCACCATATAATGGATGAATAATATCAATACGGTATAACAGCGCTCAATAGCATCATAATTCCGCGAGGAAAATACATACCTCTTTAGGAACAGGCCTTTTTGACCGTTCCGCCCCTCTTTGCTCCCCTGTAAAAGCCCTCTTCTGCGCCACCAAAAGGAGGAAAATGCCCCACCTTAGCCGAACTGTGAGTTGTGTAGTACGTTATGTACAGCATTTCTGGACCAGTCTGAGCTGCTAACGAAGGAGGACCGTACAGTACGAGTATGAAAGAAAATCAGACAAAGAACATGTTGGATGAGACCAAAGCAACTACTAAAGCATGCGGTCCCCTAAGATACTTATGTTTATATGTATAACTAGGCCAAGGATGAGGTAGTGGTTCGGCCCGGTGCGTATCACACGGGAGGTTCAATTAATCCCCTCCAAACCTCTAGAATCAACTGCTACTTCTCATCTTCTACATGCGTTTGATCACAAAAAAATTATCATATGTTTAATGATCAAGCAAATAGAAAGAAGTACAACATGAAGTATCAACATGCGTCAAATTATTGGTGAAAACGGAGTTATGGGTATAGAAAGTCCCTATATCTCATATAGTATATATTCGGAATAGGAATATGGTTTCATTAACTGAACAAAGAGAAGGTAATGTTATTGACTTCCCCTAGTTGTTGTGGAAGATTGGGAGTTGGAGTGGGGACTGGGAGCGGGACATCGGTGTCCGCAAAGCTCCGCGCGGGAGGGCGGAAGAGGACCGTTTGTTAGGAGACATTCAGACCTTCGACAAGTGTGGTCTGGTAGGCTTCAGTGCTGTGTTGATGCTGTTTCGCAGCTTCAATGCTTACGCAGGAGGGTGTTTGTTTGAACGAAGCAAGTTTCCGTTCTGTATATGCTTATAGTGTGTATGTATATTCACAGGATGCATTTGAGTGGGACCAAATTATAAAATCAACTGGATCTTTGATTCTAGTTATCTAGCATCTAGCATCTAGCAAAGTATCCCCCTATCTCAGTAAACGCCGTCGCAGTGATCCTTTCGTTCTTCCCAATACCCATCTTCAAATAACTTTCTCTTGAATGATAACAAGTTTATGCACCAAAGACCTTGACTCTGTCCTCAAGTGGCTGGAATGTCTTCTCATTTGGTCCCTTGCCGGCAACGGGAGTACCGAAGACCAATTGAGCGTTGAGCTCCCAGTCAGGGTCGATACCCCAGGTCTTCTGTACGAACTCGTCGACCAAGGGGTTGTAGTGCTGGAGGTTAGCTCCGAGACCATCGGCCTCAAGAGCGAGCCAGACAGCATATTGGTGCATGGCATCGGACTGGGTGGTCCAGATGGGGAACTTGGGTGCGTAGAGAGGGAATTGGGCTTGCTGGGCCTCAGTGACCTTCTTGGATTCGAAGAAGAGAACCTGAAATCAGCAACTGTTAGCTATACCATGTTGTCATACGCTTTTTTGGTGTTCACAGGAGGCCGGGGATTGGAAAGAAGTGGAGCAAAGGAGCAGGGAATTTCCATACAGTTCCATAGCCGGCCTTG